AACAGTGGTGACGATATGTCTCTGTTCCTGCTTAAGATGTTCACCTTATCAATGGCAAGTGGCGTGTACCCCACTGAATGGAAAACTAGCTACATAACGCTTCGCTATAAGTCCGGAGACAAATCGAACACCAATAATTACAGACCCATCAACATAACACGGGCCCTCTCTAGAAGTATGGAAAAAGTAATTAAAAGCAGCGTCTCTGATTACCTATTAACAGAAAATCTAATCACAAGGTCTCAGCATGGTTTCATAAAGAATAGGTCCTGCGTTACTTTCCACTTTGATTTCTTCAACTTCATCACTGGTAACCGTGAGGCACGTAAAATCGTCATTGTTCTATACTTTGATATATCAGGGGCATTTGATAAGGTGTCTCATAACGTACTCTTTCATAAGCTACAATCAGTTGTTATTTGCAACCCCTTACTTAGTTGGATAAAAACATTTCTTAGTGGTCGTGCCCAAATCGTGAAAGTAAACTCCATGCAGTCTGAACCTAGACATATAACTAGCGGAGTTATACAGGGTAGTGTCCTTGGGCCTTTGTTGTTCATAATCTATATCAACAGTGTGTGTAACTGCTTCAGTGAAGGCAACACATTCCTATACGCCGATGACTTGAAGGTTGTGTACACTTGTCACTCTCATGAACTACGTAACACTCTGGATACTGCCCGACAAGAACTAAGTAAACTTGCATCATGGTGTGCTGAGTCGCACCTTGAATTCAATAATGACAAATGCGGTTGGCTTACTATAGGCAACGACAACCATGACCTGACCCTCGAGGTATGCGGAAAACAGCTACCTAGACTAGCTTCTGTGTTGGGTCTCGGCATCAGGTATTCCAGAGACTTGACATTCTTGGAACAAACAGCATATATCAGATCCAAGTCACGCAAACTCTTGGGATGCATCATTCATAACTTCTAAAGCACTGAATCACGGGTTCTACTCTATAAAGTGTGCATCTGCCCACTTTTAGAATATTGTCCGTTTATTCTCAGTGGCCTTCGTAGAAGCGACAAACTGAAAGTTGAAGGGGTACAACGTTACTTCACCTTCAGAACATTAGGAACTGACCGCAATCTAGACTACACGTCCAGACGTGACATGTTGGGGTTGGAGCCACTCTGGAAGAGGAGACTTAAACTGAACCTCACATTTTTTTATAAGTTACTTCATCAGCACTTGCACTCTTGTGGGCCGCAAATCAAGCTAATTGTAACGTCTACGTACGATATGCGCAACCACGAAGTATTGGTTGAAACTGAGCGTTGTACGACAAGGTTGCAAGATAATTTCTTCCTCAATAAATACTCACACATTTGGAACAGGCTTCCAGACGAAACTCGCTTGGCAAGCTCGTTGACACTCTTCCGCTGTTCACCTAATAGGCCGCTAATAAACGACAAGTCTATCGCCCAACTGGTCACCATCTATGCATCCTGGGCTAATGAGGATATACTTGGACCTCTAAATGTATGAAACAGAGCTATTACAGCCCTCGTGTTCCTCCTACACTTATGGGTTGACGATTGCTTACGAGGGGTGTGAACACCGGTCCCCCTCCTCACCATAATGAACTTATGTACACTGGTTCCCTCTCAAAGCTACTACGGTACACTCTTGTAGAAAAGTTTTAAGAATCTTATAATGGAAAAAATATGTGGTTAATCACACACACATACATGAAAATGTACATAAGGTTCGGATAGGTCTAAAAGTATGGGAACTTCTCTCTTTTCCAAGCTTGTCTGCGTGGTAATTCCCTTTACCACATCTGCTCGTGCTTCTTCTTTGTTTTTTACTTTACAGCAACAGCTCGATGACGACATTCGATGCTAATTTTCAATCTAGATACATCTACTAGGTGGAACTAATACCTAATGTCTAACTCCATGGATTATTGGACTGCTCCCAATCTTCCGCGGTTTCTGGAACATCACAATCAACCCATCAGCTGGTCAGAATTCTTCTTGGGACGAACCGTCTAAAGTCTCCCAACAGCCATAGTGACACAAATATTCTGAACAAACGATCAAACGAGAGGCCAATATACCTTTTGGCTCGGAATATGACTTACCTGCAGTAATTCCACACTACGTGTTCTATAGTACTTTGTATCAAGGGATCTTCTTAAGTGAAAGTTACCATGCATCAAATACACCTCCCGAATGATGCTGCTTACGCTAATATGAACGATGCCTGAAGTCCATATGTAACTGCTGCCATTTGGACTATTAACCGTCTCAACGTCTATCTTCATCTACTACTAGAAGTACTCCCAGTGGAATTAATGTATACTACCTTTAAACCACATGGTGAACTGGAAATGCATGGATTTAGACGCTCACCTTGGTTATATAACTGTGGATACTTACTGATACTCCAGATCGTTTAAATAGGCCCTTTGTGGTTAGCAGAGCTAAAAACTGAAGAACTTTCTGGTGAATGGATGTTTATATTACGAAATAAGAAACTATGCAAATGGACTAACAACGTCATCTGGTTATGACGCAAACTTGGAATATTGCTCGCTTTTGTCGTTGATAGTGGAACCTATCTGTGTAATGACAGATGGAAATCCATACCCTTCTCTTGATTTGCAGCAAGTTTTAATAAGTTTATGCATATCAATAACTTGCTATATGAGTTATATAATTCCAGATACTATTCTGTAAACTTTCAAAATCATCATTTTGACGGTGCTTGTGGACTGGTATCTGTCATGTTAAATCCATTATACGGGAATGGGAATTTTTATTATCTTCAATTTGACGCCTTGCATATGCTGAAATTGGCATTTTCTTTGTCTTGTAACCGCGATCTGATGTTTTTGATGGAGTTAAACGACCTCCCCTCTGTACTATTCAGGACCCGTAAAATCTTGTAGATTTTTCAACATGTATCAATGTAATGATGCCTGTAAACTGGCTTCTCTCACGTTAATTGCTAATGTGAGAATGAAAATTTATTATCACGTGCTCACTTGATAGCCAGGTTGTTTTGTTGATTGAAGCCACTAAGACCCTATTCAGCAGCCGGGTATTGTGGCTTAGCCGGTAGTGTCAGGCCGGCATTTCCGTTTACTATGATTGGCGCTGTAACTTAGGTTAAGTGAGTGACGAAGGTGGCCCCCCTGGGTGCTTAGAATGTAGCCAGCCAATGCCGAACACTCTCTTAGTCTACTGTACTCAAAGGGCTTCTTGTCGTCCATCATGTGTTTTAAGTCAGAATACTCAACACATTTGGTCGACGGCATCTAGTTGCTTCCTGGGCTTGATCTGTCTTTCTGCAGTGAGGAGGTAAGGACTACGGTCCGGAACTTCAGGTAAGGCCACTTGAAGTTGTTGAAGATTCAGCGGAAGCATCCGAAGGGATTTATCGGTACCAAGTTGGTGTGAAATACGCTTCTGTAGCGGTAACCATAAGATTTCATGTTCCCGAGGGCTACAACGTCCGAATCTTTCTTAATCAGAGACACAATTCTGTGTCCTCGAGACCGTACGGACAATATGATTCTTGCCCAAGATGAGCTCTTCAGTTTCCACACCAAGGTTGAACTAGGTGTTGTTTTTTCGTTCAGAAGGCAGCCACTAGAATGACCCCTGCAATTGCTGGCCTGACCTATGAAGATTGACTCAAGGAACTGAACTAATTCACTTTATCATATCGCAGGCAGATGGGAGATCTGTCCATGCTATGCAGGATCCTGAGAAGTGACTTTTGACCTAAACCGTATTCTCTCCTCTTTCCCACTAGGTTGTACGACATAATGGGAGAGCACGAAAGCAAAGAACGAGTGTACTATCCATAGGGTACCGGTCATCGGGTCGAGTAACCAACTCCTGGAACTGACTCCCAGGAGTTATGCCACATGATTGATCGACTTGCTCGAAAGGGGACTCAACAACCAGAGATCTACTCGAAGAGTATTAGCGTAGGCTCACTGCCTTCTCTCCCCAAAGAACAGATAAGAATCTGAAATATGATATTCAGATTATGCGTTAATGCAGACGATAGTTTTCTAGCAGTGCAACTGCAGGAAACCAGAGAAACGGTTTTTTGCCATCAATATCGGACGGAGAAGCATTTGGGCGTTTTAGTACCTCAAGACCTAAAATGCCATAGCAACTGTGGTAAAAGCTCATGAAGTGGAAATTCGGCGCATGCAACTCCCCGAAATATTCATGGAAAATTCGATACTGAATGTTGTCGCCGAATTTTCAGTAGGTTCCTAGTGCTGTAACTGGAGTTCAGGACTGTGGTCTTCCTTGCCTCTACTTAAGAGGAAAAATTAAGCTAGACCACACTTCGAGACGGTTGATCAAATGGGTTAAAGGACCTAAGTCTAAAATATAAAGTGAAAGACTAGTTCCGCCCCACATATTTTTTCTTTGGACTATGAAAGTCCAAGAGAAGATCTGATATTGGCCCACAACATTTTGAACACCTCAGGACACCAGCTGTTTCACTTATTGGATCTTAGGTCCAGTACCAATCTCAGAGGAGACATTCAGTGAATAGGCCTAGAACATATCAGATTAAATATCACACACAAATTCTGTTCTTCAGGAGTTGCTAAGCCCTTGAGAACTATTTCTCCAGGAGTAATCCAGAGCATTTCATTTAGTTCCTTTAGATGCTTGCTTGATTCATACATAATATGTGCTCGGACGGATAAAATACTAGTTTTACACTGATTATAGACCTGGAAGCCAGTTAGGCGGAGGCTACTTCTATTCCGATGAGAACCATTTGAACAGTTTGGACGAGGTTTGTAATTCTGACCTTGAGTTGGTCAGCGCTTCTTTAGACATTGGCGTTTTGCGCACACCGGCGCAAATTGTAAAGCGTTGCGCATAGTAGATTAAATAATGTCCAAGAAAAAAGGTGATGTCCCAAAGAAAAGCGTTCTTTTGGGGAGAGTTGGAACTAATCTTAAGTGTGGTGTAGTTGGTTTGCCGAATGTGGGGTGAGCTATTTAGGATATGTTTAATTCTAAGGCAGAAAATCAACTTTCTTCAATATCCTCACAAAAAAGCCAAGTTCCAGCTGAGAACTTTCCATTTTGCACCATCAATCCTAATGAAAGTAAGTTTTTCGAACTATCTCTGGATAAATACTTCTTCAGGTCGTGTTGCTGTACCTGATAACAGGTTCGACTGGCTTTGCGAATACCACCAACCTGCCAGGTGAGCGATGGTTGTCTGTCTGCAACAAATGGTATTGGGTAGCTAGCACAATACAGTCATTTGGGTACAGAATTAAATGATTACTTTTGTTCTAGTCCACCTGCTTTCTTATCCGTAAATCACTTGAGTAGTGGTGACGAACATTGTCAATAGAAAGTCTGTCCCGCTACTGGAGATTTTTTGCATGAAACATGAATACTTCTCAGACACTTAGGCGTAATTTTCGTCCTCTCTTTTGGCTAGTGATGGCGTTAATCGTCCATATGACCGGGTAATTTGCCTCATGGACTCAGTCTAAAGCGTAAAAATCTTTGCTTCCAAGTCTTATAAGCTGCAATTATGACTAACTTTCATAATTGGAGGAAAGTTGGTTTTATTTCAAAGTAGTTGAATGCCTCTCATTGTAGAGTTCAACAAATGTAGATTTCAATTCTATAAAGGGTAGTAACAGCAACTGAGTCACCAATGTAATTTAAGTAATGGATGTTCATCTGGATGAGCAGTTGATTGCGGCTTGCAGTTTTTGGTGAATCGAGTGTTGATTTTTAACGGGTTAACACTAATACTGTCTGAATGATGTTCAAGTGGCGTTAAAGAGAATAGATGAAACAGGATTAAGTAAGCTACTCATATTAACTGGCAAGCCGACTTTTTGGTTTTTAGGATTTATTCACTAAAGAGTGACATCGTAAGTGGATTGAGGATAGATCTAAGAAATTAATCCTATCAACAATTGCAAAGCCAATTAACCTATGATAGACTTCACGACCTACATCCATTCATGAAATAATTAATTGCATTCTTTTCACCCTATAGCCTATCGTTCATACTATCAATAAGGATGATATATAGGGCTTTCTTGGATCTTTGACAAGATCCAGAGAGAGCAGCTAGATGCACAAATAAATGGTTAGGTTTGAAGAAAAGTTCGCTTTTAATTGAATAGAAATATTCTTATGAATTGAGAATAATACTTAGATAATAAACCTTTCATCTACAATTTACTTCAGCGCTGTTGACATATTTCAGATGAATAAGAAGTGAAATTGAAAATGACCAACTTTGATAAAATCGTGTTTGTGACGATCTTTATTTAAACAGTTGACGACCAGGATATTAGACATTTTAGGTGATGTGGCTCAGAACTGATGTCAGTGGCGCAGATGTATACACACATTATCTTCATCTTAACACTAAACAGATTCTCACCATTTTGTCATTTCGTCCTTTCTTCCTTCTCGTACTTTATATTTCTTTTGACTGAATTTTCTTATCTCCATCTTTCACCTCACTACCTTCCTACTTGGTGTACTGATATGAGCTATGGTAACTCGGACCGTTACGCAGTAATGCCTGGTCCTATGTCGATATTGATGATGATGATGATAGACATTTTAGAATGCCGTAAAACTGTGCAATTTTTCAAGCTACTTGAATCGGCAGGAAAAACTATCGACTTTTATAGGAAATGATAGGCAGTAAGTATTCGTGAATTAAATCAAGACCCATCAACAGTTCAGTGCTATGCTCATACTCTTCATCATTAGAGGCACCAAGCGCCCCCAAACTTCTGAAAGGTCACTTCCGGTATTTGAAATAGATGTTGTAAGAAAAAATAAAAATAAACCGAAATTAGCATATTAGTCATCATGTAGCAAACAATTATGGGTTAGTATATTGTTTTTATAGAATGACTTCATCTCAATATGATGTTTCATTCTTTCAATTTTGATCTCAAGCCACATTTTTACAGAACGATGTGATATCTCTTTCTTAGAGCGACTTTCAAATGGCTTTGAACACACCAATAAGAAAATGGTTTTTCCCTTCTAGTTCTTAAGACAAATGAAATAAAACCACAGTAGACAGTTTTCAACTGCGCTCAAGTACTTACCAAAGTTTCTAATTTTTCCTGCTTAAAATAAAAGCACGTGCGATAAAAATATTCACCCATGTGATGGCATGAAAGTGAAACACTTGAACTGTGATGAATGCGAATAAGCCTTCACTTCGTCTTCTATCACCACTAAATTATTGATATGAACCCATGTAAGAAGATTTAGCAATTAAAGTTCGAGAATTCAAGAAGATTACGTCAGTGACATTAGATGTTCTATTTCAAAGCGGAGGACGTGAAAATTACATCCTAAAGCAGCAAACACAGAAATCAGGTCCTATTTCCAGCTCCATTGATGAGAAAAGAACCTATTCGCTGTTCGTTCTCTGCTTTACGACCTGGTGGACATTGCTAGGGGAGTTTGATTTAAAGGTGGGGTTTAGGGAGCTAAATCAGGGGTTCTGAATAAGTTTTAAGGTGTGAAACCTAATCTTGAAGCGTATTATTCTGTAGTTTTTCCATCAATGAGAAATGCAAGCCTGTGGAAGAACCCCTCAATTAGCAAGTGGGGAAGCGATATTGTAGGAGGTGATTCTCTTCGATTCATTCGGAACTGTCATCATCGAAATTGTTCATAAGCCTATAGTTAGCGACATTCAACAACCCAACGCTTCTCAGAACCATTGCACAGTCAATTTCGATATGGTTGGTCACTTCAAGGTCCTTAATGGTCACTTAACGACAGTAAAATTCCATAGTTCTATTGACTTTCTAATCTAAGGTATAGATAGAAATGATCGGGAAAAGTCAGTGTACTCGTGGAAGCTTACAAAGATTGGTATCTGTTGGTTGTGTACACCGTTGGACGTTGAGAGCTTCAGGTGAAGTGATAGTGTGGTTTTATGAGACGAGAAATGGTGTCCTACTGCCTTCGATCATTATTGATGATCGAAGTTTAAAAAGTTAGGAAAACCATTAGGGATTTAATCTTGGTGATTAGAAGCAGATGGTGTAGGTAAGGAAGGGGTTAAAGCTAAACAAGGTAGGTTACAGTTGAATAGGTTTTCCCTACTGTTGGACACAAGTAGGCACTTGGCACTTCCGGACTGCCTACACCGTGGAGGTTGATGTCTTTGTGAAGTACCTGAAGGCTGACGTGATAAACCTGGCATAACGGCAGTTTCAGGAACACCTGCTTGAGGTCTTTGGGATAGTATTTTCGAGAGTTCTCAACTTGGTATTGATTTATTTACGTCTCGACTAGTAAAGCGTTTCGGAGGTAATGGTAAGTATCAGAGTTGAAGGTTGATAACTCTTTGAGAAAACTTCAGTGCTGATAATCGTGAAAACATGTGATGCCTCCTAACTATCAACACCTTGGAGGGCTTTTCGTTCTTGGCGTACCTGAAAAAGAAGCGTTAGTGACAGTCGTGTGTAACCAGACAATCCAAGAGCCATCTTATTGAGCTTGAGATCTAAAAAATTAGTCCCTTTGTTGGGTTTGCATAGTATAATAATAGGACGGCGATTATCTGAGAACTGTGATATATTCGAGCAATACATTTTGTTATGTATACCACAGGGTAGCAAGGAGTATGCTATTATTACCGTCAACCTTTGATAACCTATCCTTTCCCATTCGGAAGGCCGGATCATCCATTCATCTAAATCAACATAGGACCAGGCTGAGGGAGTCTTCTTTTTAAAAATTTAAAGCAACTGGTCCCTTTGATAAATTTAAACAGCGTAATGAGAAGACGAAGGTTATGTGAAACATGTGATGTATTAGCGCTATACATTTCAAACAATCTCATCACACATGGACTTGTCGAACTATTTATGTGATAATTTACGAAAAAGGTCAATGAAGTTAATAGGAAACATAGGAGTAGGTAGGGAAAGAAAAAGAAAAAAACCTTACTCTTGGTATGAAAATTAAAATCAATGCTACCAACGTAGGTTCAACGTGAGTACGAATTGTTTTTGTATACATAAAAGGGGTTTAAATTTACGGATGGCAAGAGCTTCAATAAATTTAAGCACTCGGCTCTGACCACTTTTATGTAGTACTTTAAAGGCTGTTTTAATGTCTACCCTATGGTTGAACCTACCTTGGTAGTATGATTTTAATTTTATACCAAGAGTAAGGTTTTTTTCTTTTTCTATCCCTTCCTATTTCTATGTTTCCTATTAACTTCATTGACCTTTTTCGTAAATTTTCACATAAATAGTTCGACAAGTCCATGTGTGGTGAGATTGTTCGAAATGTGTAGCGCTAATACATCACATGTTTCACATAATCTTCGTCTTCTCATTACGCTGTTTAAATAGGACCAGGCATTACTGCGTTACGGTCCGAGTTTCCATAGCTCACATCAGTACATCAAGTAAAAAGGCAGAAAAGTGTAAGATGAGAAAAAAATTCAGTCGAAAGAAATATAAAGTACGTAACGCGTGTTCCAACCATCTCAGTCGATGAAAGTTCACGTCCATAACCATGTCAACTGATTTCCCTTTCCTCCCTAAAACTCTACACCTGACTTCTGCATTACTCACGTGGTGACACCACGGAAGACGGCCTATACTACGAAGGCAACGGTGGTCAAACACTTGAAGCTTTCTTATATCTTCCACTTTCAATGGCCATGTTTCACAGCCATACAGTAGAACAGAGTGGGCTGGTGTGCAGTACTCGTAACCCTTAACAGACAGTCAAATATCACGGCGGTGCCACAGGTGGCGTAAGTTGGCAAAATCCAGCCGAACCTTTTGTATTTGTGCAGAAATTTCGTCGACCACTGAACCACCAGGGCTGATCCAACTTCCCAGGTAAGTGAGGTTCCTCTGTGTTATGTGAATATTATGTGGTGTGTGTGTGTATATGTTTGAGTGGTATTACTCAGTTATACCTGGTCCTATTTTTTTCAACGTCTAGTCCGTTCACCTAAGAAGTTATTCGACTGCGATGTCAAATTAAACAGAACACTAGAGTTCAACTCTGCCACTACAGCCAGGTTTGTGTAATTGACTGTGAGTCAAAAATAAATTGGCTCTACAAAATTGGTTGTTTGGAGCGGGTATTGAACCTACTTGTTCAAGCAGATGCAAGTGCAGTGATTAGATAGATGGACCATGGCCTACTAATTGTGTATAAGTGGATGTTTAAGGCTTTGTTTCAACTGGTTGTTACTCATCCACAAACCGTACCTGTCACCTTGAGAAAAACTGGTGTTACCTGGAAGATTTTAACTCGCATCACTCTGCGCTGAAATCAAAGACTTTACAACTAAGTTATTCAAGTCATATATGACACGGTGTAGGACCTGATTCTGTACCTGAATCGGTCATTGAATGGCAACTGATGTAGCTGTCCAGTCCTAAGTAGTCAACGTTGGTTGAAATCTACCGAACCCATTTGAAAAATGGCCATTAAACCAAGTCATTCGACATTATGTTGAACCACACTTTGATGTTAGAAGAACACAGAACATCACATGAAACTGGATTGATCAAAGTTATCAAAGTTCGCAAACACCACCTCTCGAGAATTTGAGGATAGGAAAGATGTTAAACGATATTTAACAATGCAAAAACCAGAGAAAGTGAAGTTAAAGTGTTTTCTTTTCTAATTTTGAAGATGATAAATTACAGAATACATTCGGTTGTATTCTACTTCAAGTCACACAACCAGTGTTCCCCAATATCTTTGCAGCTCTGGCTAGATAAGTGGTCTACGCCTGTTTACATTTCGTTGATCAGTAATCAGAAACTTTCTGGATCGTTGGTGTATTGGTTTTTTCATGACCTAATTCTATCACAGCCAGAGTTAAATTTCGTAGTCATCTATATAGTTTGACATATGAATAATATGCGTGATTCAGTCATGTCACTTGAAGCCTACTCACAACAATATTTTCTAAGTGCACGAAAAAATTAATTCTTAAAAAAATGATCGTAATTAGAATAATTTTTTCTGATCAAATGGTTGGTGAATTTCACTAATTCAGTAATTGCTTTTACTGGTATCGTGTTCTCTTAGCTGAATTGTTTAGTCATGAAGCTTTCATTGTTATTCTAGGCAATATCATCGGCACGAACTTCATAGGGAGCTATGCGATTTTCTTCACAAGTGGGTTAATAGCTTGTCCTGATAACCTTGAATGTGATTGGTTGTTCCTGCCAAAGTCTTGTCATTGTGATAGTTACTTGGTGTTCTCCGAGCTTTGGCGTTTTTTTTCTTGGATGTTTCATTGTCAGGTTAGGCGAATTTATCAGCATTTAGTTTATGTATGTAGTCGATTGGCCTTGTGATGAAACGTGCCAAAACACACTTTAAAGCTAAGAGAACAAACAATCACCATTCTCATCCTAAGCTACAAGTCTTCCCATTATCTTTATGCGTATTTTGGTTGACTTTTCCGCTATTGTGGACTTTGACTTTCGTGGTGTTTCTTATTGATTGATAGATTTTCGACTGTCAATATGCCTATTAACTGCTGACTGATTTGAGTGCCAAACTTCTAAAACGTTTTAGCATTCTTCCTATTTCCTCCGTCAAAGATTTCCACGTTTTCTTAGTCAATTTGATGTCCTCAATTGTCTGTCTGCATCGATATCAAAGAAAATATGTCGTGACGCTTCACTACTAGTTGGTTTTCATGTAGACGGACGTAAAGAAGGCGGCTACTCTATCCTGTATAATGTTTTTCGCAATTCCTCCAGTTTATTTTCTCGATAACGTTGGGTTTATCTCGCTTTGCTATTGTTTCTTTTGGTCTGCGTAACATAGAGACAAGGGATGTTGTAGACATGTGAACTACAATGATTCCAAAAGGATTCAGTATTCTAGTTGCAGTCTCGAATACGTTCTACACGTAAAGTAGGACAATTCGTCTGTTGGTTTCAAGGGATAACTTTTTGGTTGATGATGAGTTTGACAAACACCTTTTGATGAAGTTGCATAGATAGTTATCTAGTAGTGTTTGCATATTTTATAATAAAAAGTAACAATATGTAGTCTTTTATTCCAATGTCTGTAGCACGGTGAAACGGATCTCAATGTTGAAGGTCGTATTGGTGGCGATGGGACATTGTCCGCAAGGGGCAATTTAGTACGTTCCATTTTCATTATTTTTGCATACACAATTTGTTTTTTAAATACTACCAACGACAACTCTACTTTGCAACATATTATATGAAGTATTCTAGAAAGTTAATTATTTTTTCGTAGTAGTTAGCTCTTCAGCAATGGCTCGACACTAATGGATATCATCATCATCTCTCAAAATAGGACCAGGGATTACTGCCTAACGGTCTGAGTTGCAACAGCTCATATCAGTAAAAAGGCAGTGAAGTGGAAGATGAAGATAAGAAAATTTAGTCAGAAGAAATATAAAGTACGAGAAGAGAGAAAAGAGGAATGACAAAATGGTGAGATTCGGTATAGCGTCGTTAAGATGAGGATAATGTGTGTATACATCTGCGCCACTGACATCGGTTGTGAGCCATACCACCTAGAGTCTCCAACCACTGGTTCCTCTTGTCCCTGGATCCCAACCGGCTAGTCTGCATCGCCCCACATGGCTCAAACCAACAGTCAGGGACTTCATACATTGGTATCGTGTTTTAGTTTGGCCACCTCGGGCAGTTTTCCAGTCTGAACCTACTTCGGCCAATATTGTGTGACGAGGCGGATGGCAACTAGGCATATGTAACGCGTATCCAAACCATCTCAGTCGATGAAGGTTCACAACCATGTCAACTAACTTACCTCTTCTCCCTAAAACTCTACACCTGACTTCTGCATTACTCACGTGGTGACACCGCGGAAGACGGCCTATACTACGAAGGCAACGGTGGTCAAACACTTGAAGCTTTCTTATATCTTCCACTTTCAATGGCCATGTTTCACAGCCATACAGTAGAACAGAGTGGGCTGGTGTGCAGTACGCGTAACCCTTAACAGACAGTCAAATATCACGGCGGTGCCACAGGTGGCGTAAGTTGGCAAAATCCAGCCGAACCTTTTGTATTTGTGCAGAAATTTCGTCGACCACTGAACCACCAGGGCTGATCCAACTTCCCAGGTAAGTGAAGTGGTCAACATACTCAACCACTACACTCTCTATTGTTAGTCGAGAAACTTAACGACCAGTCCTGGAGCAACAATTTGCATTTGGGTAGTGAGAAACGCATCCCAAATATTCTCAAATTGACACTCAAAGTGTCCAGAAGACTATGCATCTTGTCAGCGTCTTCACCTAACCCGACTATGTCACATCTGCATATTCTAGATCTGACGAAAATTCCCCTGTGATTAGGTTAATCTCTGTGTAGTCAGGTGACGAGTGGGAGACTTCCATAAGAATATCTATGATAAAATTGAATAAGAATGGAGAAGGAGGGCAGTCTTGACGGACACTGCTAGACGAGCACAGCTCCTTGAACATCTCACCATAGGTTCTAACACGCCTACAAGTGTGCGAGTAGATAACCTTCAATAAGGTTATGTACTTACTAGGCATGCCTTTCAGTGAGAGACATTGCCATAAGACTTTTCAATCAACGGAGTCAAACACCGCCTTCAAGTCTAGAAAATACATCTGTTGTCGGGCGTCGGTGAGTGTACCTATGTTCCAAAACCTGGTGGAGTATAAATATTTGGTCGACACACCCGCGGTCGGGTCTAAAACCTGCCTGGTTTCCTCGGGCTTGCTGTTTCTGAACTTCACTCAGGTGTCGAGGAATTATAGAACCTAGAATCTTAGATACTATGTTCGTCAGACTGATTCCTCTGTGGTTGTCAGAGGAGGACTTCTCACCTTTCTTGAAGAGTGGAATAATCGGTAATTGAGACCAGTCAGAGGGGATCGCATTTGATTCCCATTTGCTACTTAGCACTTCCGTTAACCACCATCCTTGTATACCTCAGGAGTTATTCACACTAATAGATAACAAACTAAGCAAAAAAGTACCCGTTTAGTCATGAAAAGTCAGTCGATATCAGATTATCAATTTCATCATGCCGAGTAGATTAAGATAACAATTAGTCGAATTTTTAAAGTTAAAACAGATTACTGGCGAATTGGAATGCTAGTAGTTGATAAATGGTCAGTTATTGAAGATAATTATGTAAGAATAACTGGAGATAAAGGGGAAAACCTAAAACAGCTTAAATTGTTAGAATTATTCCATTTTAGTTGATTTATTAGGTGTATTCACACAGTGGAACAGTATTGTTTACTGGATAACGTTTCGGACACTACTGTCCATAGTTGGAGGGAGAGATTGATAACCCTATTTTTGTTGATGGCCTGAACACTCAATACATGCAACAGGAATGGCTCACAACCTGTTCCGGATATATGGAAAATCCTACTTCCTGCCTATATCATACATAAAGCGAGAAAATTAGAACTACATAAACCATGTCTCAAAGTTGTGAAGATATCTTGATATGACGACTATGGAAAATAAATTGTATCCGAAACGTAATCCAGTAAGTAATACTGTTCCATTGTGTGACATATCGAATAAATCAGCTAAAAATGGAATTACATTCTACTACAGTGCTCAAGTTCTATTCTTACATCAGTGTTAGAATTATGAAAATAATTATAATGATAGTTTTGTTAGGCGAAAAAGAGAAGAAAGTCATCTTTGGGAGTGAACAAGTTATGCAGTTGATCAAGGCAAAAAAGGTTGAGACTGCATGAATTTCTTCCAAACACACAAGCTCGGGTTGTTCAAGTTAGTCGTGATGAGCTCTTCTGTATGTTAAATTGAAGTGGACTTGCAAAGCATGTGTAAGGCTAGATGGAATTCAATAAACAACTTTAAGGGCGTTAGTTAATGTCGATTCGATGTCCCGTATCAACAAGATTGTGATGGTATGGAGCTGCATACTGATCTTAGTTTTTTACTCAGCCTTTACTTTTGACGCTGAAATATTCACTTACAGAATTTTCACTTTTTTAGGTGTTCTAATGACAACAAAAGTCATTGGAACAATAAAAAGGATTATTTATCAAAAAATAGCATTACCAAATGTTCTGTATATGTGTATGATATTGTAACTTATTTCAAAGATAATCGGCTTGACAATGAATCGATATTTGTATCGCTGACCGTCAATGGTGAGATCTCCATTCCTCGATCTATAGATCATAAGCAATTCACTTTATGTCAGTTTCCGTTGACCAAAGCTGTCCAGTAATCCATTCTTCCCTTCCCACTGCTATAACCCTGTGAACCATTGGCCTCCCAACCTTCTTAGGTTGACCCAGCATTAAGTGCCTGATATATCCGCTTTTGTAATTTCTCTTTCATGGAAACGCCAAATTATGTGTAGACAGTGAATATAACTTCCGTAGATGGCATAGTCGTGTTAGGTGAAGTCGCTGATAGAAAACGGGGTCTTCTAAATACCTTGAGTGGAAATCGGAGTATGTTTGGTTGACATGCGTTTTGCACCTATCAAATGTGAGACGCTGCTTCAAGGTTCTTCTCCAGATAACAATAGGGAGGGAGTAAAGTGGTAAAATGGGTGATCAATTCGCTTACTTGAGAAGTTGCATCAGGCCGGACAGGTTATTTATTGACAAAAATTCAGTTGCCGTATGAGAGATCCGTTTTTGATTTACCAACCTACATCATGTCTAGTACTATGGAGTCGTGCGAGTACCTATTGAAGGATGTGCATACTGTTTCCTGCAGTCCGTTCTCTTGTGTAATGTGACTGTGTGAGATGGTTGTGGAAAGTTGGAGATATTGTGAGATTGCATGTATTTGACGACTAGTATCTTTGTAAGATTGTTTGTATGTGGTAGGATGACTGACTAAATGAGTAATGTCGAAGTTGGGTGAAAGGTGTTGGTGGTAATAGGTAAGGAGGTGAAGTCAGTTGATGAAATTGTTAGTTTTGAGTGAGTGAATCGGCTTTTGGATGTGTTGCACACTATAATGCATGGTAAGTTTGATATGTGTGATGCTTGCGAGTGATAGGATTTTGTTGTGTGAGGGTTAAGCGAGATAGGAGTGGAGGGAGTGATGTGAGTTTAAGATGTGGTGCTGGTGCATGCAGTTTTTGACTGTTGTTGTGAGGGATGTATGGAGTTGTAAACTGTGTGAGGTTGTGGTCTTCTAGATAATGAATGAGAAAGGATGATTGGTGACTGTTGAGGACGTGGGTGAAAATCAGTTACCTTCTTTGTATGTTTGAACATTTTGACTAATTTTCATTATGAAATTTTTTCTGCTGTAATACACATTTGTATCCACTTGTTATTTTCATGCTACTATGAAGTGTTGTAAATTGAACCGATTTGCTTCTGTGCCGTGTCTTACGTTGATTTATCTCTCTCTGTGACTCTTCATTCAAATGATTGTATTTTGTATAGTTAGCAGTCTATTCCTGCCGTTGACACTACCATTGCACTTAATATGTAGGGTAAGTCAGTCAATGAAATTATGACCACAAAGCTACTCTTTTATCTCTGACGCGTTTCGCTCACTCTATGCGCCCATCTACCTCAATTCATTATGTTCATTAAAGCTAAATTGAACCTGTTGAAAGCTAATTAATGGTGGTAGTACCGAGATGTGTTCACCACTACATGCACTTTTTGGCTGCTGATGTTAGAAGTGCATGTTGCTTGATCAATTTTTCCAGGATGCACTGACTGTCAATATTTTCTTAGCCTCTACTTAATTGTGAATCCCCCGCTTATATCCTTTTCGTTTAACTTTAACATCACTGTATCTTAGTTGATTTTCTATGTTTAGGCTGTTATAGAATGTGACAACTTGAACCAATGTATATTTTTACAGGTTCAATGTTTCATCATGTATTATTCTATCTGTTTGCATGACTTATAGTTATGAATAATGTACTATAGTAGAGTATTTTCCTCTATTAAGTAAGTTTATTTGATACTTCATGCAGCGAAACACCATTATTTATTTGCATTTTGTATCAAGCACAATTTATCGCTTGTAATCACATTAGGATAAACGAAATGCATAGAAAATTAGTATCTTCCTTCTTGTTAGTTATTTCTCATGCCTGGATACATTTATGACAAGAAGGAGTTCTTATGTCAGTGTAATTGTATATGCATGTTATCTAACTTATGTCAGTATCAGTTGTTTTGTTCATCTGTTGTTGCATTGTTTTTCTCCAAATCTTCCCTCCAGTATGCTCAAAAACTGGCAATCTTCATGGAACAGGAAAAGTTACATGATCTCAAGGTTTGGACAAGTCATTTTAAACGCACTATTCAAACAGCTGATAATATTCGCTGTTCACAAATATGCTATTGGAAGGCATTAGATGAGTTGGATGCAGTGAGTGAAAAGCTATTTGCATTATAACATTGATGTAATTGGTAAAGTTGCCTTTTAATTCTTTGCATACTCCCGCATGTTTTTACTATTGCTATTGGTTGAGAGCTCTATGGTCAAGTAAAATATTATCCACATAGTTACGGGTCCAAATCTACATGTCAGGATCATTGAGTTAGCTGTTGTTTATGGTAACTTGGTTGGTTGTGGCTAGCCGAGGATCCAGGACACGCGTTCCATCCTATTTGGGACTCGTCGGCTGGTTGTACCTGCACTCCATTGAGTGAGGTTGTTGCCACTGAGACTCGAACCTCGTACCCATCGGTTTAAACGCCAAGGCCTAATCCACTATGCCACTTCTCGTACAACAGTTAGTAGTTGGCATACTTGTAATTCTCCGTTGTGTTGCTTGGTCGAATTGTTCAACCTCTTTTGGTATATAGGCTCATATGCCAACCAAATTACCATAATTCACATCCAGGCAATATCGAGGCATCCGCATAGGAGCCCATATGCCAATAGAGGTCGAACAATCCGATCCAATAAAACAACAGAGAATTACAAGTATATTGATAAATAGTAATATTAGCTGTTGTTTATTGGTCTAGACTTTCTGTTAATTCACACTTCACTGCCAAAGGTTTCAATCGGTGAAAAATAGGTGCAGCTCATACTGCCTGTTGGACCAACCTGTGCGTGATTGCTGGGTTGGGTCAGTAGATTACGTAGCGAAATTTATTGATTCAAGCGTAAGAAGAAATACTTACAATTGACGCTGGATAAAATTTACACTTGATTACAAACTTTTAGAAGTTGGAAGACATTTAGCAACGAAGGTTTCTTACCCAGTGTCTGAAGGATAACTCGACGGACCGTATGTTCCTCCACATAACCGTGAACCGTAGCAACAGATAATCAAAGTGTTCGATGCCTTTTGATTAATGACTCTTCAACAGTTCAACTGTTGTATTTCCTGTTTAATCCTAAATTTAAAAAAAGCGAAGAACTTCGTCTTTTGCTGTACACTAATATATAGGCTTACAACTCAATCAAAACACCAGTCAAGTGGTGGGGGGTTGACAAACCATAACTATAGATTTTAATTAGGTCATGAAGGTGATAAATTTGAGAAATCAAGATGCTATTAATCAACAGAGTATTTATACAGGGTTAAAAATAGCAATTATAACAATGTGAAACAGTATATTCTTAGGCAAATGGCATAGTAACTGGTAGAGTAAATGGAGCGTGTTTTCTTGAGTGGCCAGTCATAAACAATAAATAATTATGTCAGGATAAGAAGCAAATACATACTGGTAGAACAAGAGGGGAAGATGTGTCCAAAATGATACTACAATAGCTGCATCATGTTGATGACCACGCTAATGAAAGTGGTTGAAAAAATTTCTTTTCAATTAAAAAGTTAGATTCGTGAAGGTGGATTACAATCAACTCTGTTGTGTAAAGTAAACGAATGCGAAGACCATGTGGTAAATTAATTGGTATACAGTGAATAATTTTAAATACTATTCTAGTGTCCACTTAATGTTCATTGTCAATTAAGTTGGCAAAAGTTGAGCCCCTTATTGTTCTAACGTGGTGATGAACTCTTCCTCTATAGCATCGCCAGAACAAATAGCTGTGGCACGGTATGCTAAGCATTTGACAAAGTTTCTATTGTATTGGAGGGTATGGCACTCAAGAGGTGTATGTATTGACCTGTCGATGTTGGCTTTATATATATATATATATATATATATACTTCGTTTCAGAGTTTCATCTAACCTTCTAACCAACAGAACATCAAGAAATCAGATACTGTCATTTTTCTCTTCTATTGTGAATTTGATTACCAGATGAACACTACTAAACTTACCAAGACCAGGATTCTTATCAAGCTCGTTTTTGAGAACTATAAAGGTATCATCCATGTAACGACACTATAACTCCAAGCGGCTAATAGTTCCGTTCAGTAGACCATTCTATACTTTTGCCAGAAACAAATCTGACAAAAGTCGACCAAGGGGTGAACCATCCATAGCCATACCATCGATTGCTTGTAGAGTTCATTATTGAAAAAGAAATGTGCATTAATCGTACACCTCAGAAGTAGTTCTTTCAAGAGGGAGACTGAAATACATGTTTCCATACCGTACTTAGTAAGTTCATTGCAAATAAAGTCTGCTGTTTCCGCTAAAAGAATGTTAGTAACAAGAGATGAAACATCACACCATATCATAAACTTATTATCTACTTTAAGATCTTCAGTCTTTTTAACAAATTCAAGGGTATCTTTTAAACTGCGCTCTGCAGCTTTTTTGTTGAGAAACTTCAAGAGTTGTACCAACCATTTTGCGATTGAATGATACAACGAGTTTGATATATCAACAACTGATCAAAGAGGCAATCCATTTTTTTTGTGCAGTTTCTGCAGACCATAAAGTCCAGGCGTAACAGTAATTCCTAAATCCATAAGTAAAGCCTTTTTCAGATATGCGGTGATGAAGTTAGCTTTAAACAAGTGAAACAGGCTTTTAGCGTTTACAGGTCTCTCTGTTCTGACTAATGAAATCTTGTATCCTTTGATAGCATATTTAATAAATCTTAGGGGGGTCATTCCACTAATTTTTCAGTATGGTTTGAAAAATATCAAGTTCTTCATCGAGTATCGAGTCCATCTTTTGAACAGATTATTAGAATTTCTGAGCATAACAGGTGATGATGAATAAGGTTACTGTTTCTGCTAGCTTAGGTAAGAACAAACATAGTCACCTATTGAATTCGATTTGCTAGTTGTCCGATAATTGTTTGCTTTTTTTTTTGATAATGTCAATTAATTAATTAATTGCATTTATACAGTATAATCAATAGGCATTTTACGATTTTTCTTTCCTTTTCAATTCGGAAATCATTTCGCCTAAAACTAGTCTTGGCATTGCAACACAATATTTTGGTTTGTTTATTTACTATACCTTTTTGAAATCAATGATTTTACTTGGAAAAGATTAAAACCTATTCTGCCTCGGACTGAAAACATACATTTACACACAATAAAGGTGAGAAAAATATGGATGAAATGAAGACAATTAGGCGTATTAAATATTCAAATCAGAGACAAATGCTGGTGTTTCTTGAATAGATGTTTTGACGTAGATATCTCTCTAAACATAAATTGACCAACCGTCTTCACACTGATCGCGAGTGATGGTTAGCGAAAGTGAAAGGGATGTCAAAATTACATAATACTCATCAGTTATTTGGGTTTATTAAAAATGTTAGCAAGAAGAAAATGATGGTTAATGAAACCATCACCAAAAAAGATATGATGCTGATAACCTCCCAGGACAGGTGACGGGAACGTTGGGCGGAAGACTTTACAGTACAGTCCAACTGGCCCACAGCAACACTTTAGTTGCTCGACATCCAGCCTGAGCCTGAATCAGACGTAGGCGTCGGTCTTTCAACCCACCTAGAAGTTAAGATGGCTGTGTCGAGCCTGAAACGATGCGAAGCAGGAGGTACGAAATGGCTGATTAAAGAGACGTTGCTACTTACTAAATGGTGTATGGGAGTCGGAGGTTATTCCGTCAGACTGGTCGACTTCACTGATCGTCTCAGTCTATAAGAAGGGAGAGAATTCTTCTTGTGACAACCATAGGGGAATTACTTTGACTAACATTGCGTCCTAGGGTCCATAGTTATGTGACGCCTCACTGGAGCTCGGGAACAACAGACTCAAGAAAACCAGGCAGGTTTCAGACCTAAACGAAGATGGATCGATCATATTTTCACCCTCGGACAGGTCCTGGGACACAAGCATATCTACTGGCGCCCGAAACTTGCTATATTTCTCGGCCTTAAGATGAAATTTGACTCAGTCGACCGTAAGGTGTTTTGACAGGGTCTGATTGTAAAGCAAGTATACGATGCTCGTCAAAGCTCTCTATTCTAACTCACACGGCTGTGTAAGGGCTTATTGAGAGTTGTCAATTTAAGTTGACGACAACTAGTGGTATCCGTTAGGGTTGCCAACTGTCACCGTTCCTGTTTAATTTCGTTGTAGATGTATAATAGACATCATCAATCCTGTCTGTGACTGGAATGCTTACTGTCACCATTCCTGTTTGACTTTTTCTTAGATGTGCTGATGAATATACCCCTTCTTACCTCTGACCTCATGGATCGGGTTACTCCCAGGAGGGCATCTGATTGACTTATGGTACGTAGACTACATAGTCGTGTTAGGCGAAGGCGCTGACAATTGGAGGATCTGAATTCTTTGAAAGGAAATTAGAGTATTTTTGCTTGGCACTCTATTTTTGCCTGTCAAACCTAAGATGATGCTTTAGGACTGGTTTGCAGCCATTTTTAGTTCAAAGGTTAAGGAATGAAGTAGCAGAATGCGTTGATGACTACTTCACTTCCTTGAGGATTTGTGATACCCCGAACAGACTGGTTTCTGACGAAATCTCAGCTCGGATACAGAAACTCCACGTGGCATTCGCCACCTTGCGTCATCTTTGGCGCTGATTGACGAGGTATTCCACTACCTATCAAAGGAAGACCATACTGCGCTGCAGTTTGTTCTGTCCTGTTATACGGCTGTGAGATATGGCCATTAAAAGTAGAAAATGTGAAGCAGTTATTAAGTTTTGATCATAGATGTCTTCGCAGCATTTCTTGCGTATGGCAGAATCAATATGTGACCAATGTTGAGGTCAAGCGAATGCTACTTGGCAAGACAGGAAAGTCGTTTGATGAGGTTGCAAACCTTCATATACTGAGATGACTTAGGTATGTTTTGCGCACCCCAATCTACTGCCTACCTCGACATGCCATCCTAGGGGAAGTTGGATTAGATCGGAAAAGAGCTCAGGGTGGCCAGATGAAGACGTGGTCACAGTCGATGAATTCTGTGACTGTTGGTTTGACCCATATGGAAAGGTGTAGACCACCTGACTGCGATCTTCGGGATGATACGAATCAGTGTTTGTGCACTCTTGGTGATACGGCTGAAAATCAGTTACAGCGGTGCAGTTGTATTCACTCCTTTGATATCTAAGACTTAAATATTTTTGCTAACCTTTATTTTCAAATTCGTTCTGCTCCCATGGGCCTTTGTCTAGTTTGATATCATTCTTTTTCTATCCGCTTGTTCTTTTCACTATTACTTGGACGGATACACCTGTGTGCGAGGTTTTACGTTGATTTTACCGGCCTTTAATGACCATTGTTTCATTGGAACTGCAGTGTATTGCTATCTGTTTCAGTGTAGAACATGTATAAATTGTCGAAACCTTCCATCCCGTCACCACTTTTCACCTTCGCCCATTGACAATGTATAACCCATTCCATTCCGATTTTAATGGCATGAACTAGGTGTAAAACACTAGTTCTGCATAAATTGATCAGTTAGGAGTATTGAATATCATGTTGTCTAGTAATAAAAGCTAATGGAATCCTATCGATAGATTTTCTAATATGTACACTCACTGAACTAGCATAGGCGATATCATGGTACGGCTTAGTAGATGTTGATTGGTTGAAGGCGATCAAGTGCAAGCTCTACTTCACGTCCGTCTCATGTGTTTCGACACTTTGTCAACCTCTAAGGAACTGATATTGCCTTAGCTATCCGAACGTGCATCAATCAGCCCTGAAGTCAAATATATTCTATTCTATTGGGTTTCATATATTAATTGCAGGGAATGGGAGAATGATCAGCAGTTGAACATCACCAGTCCTCGTTCTGCCCTCTTCCCAACCTATACGCCTATTTTTATGCAGAATCTGTACGTTTCATTGATTCAGTCGTTATCCATTCTGTTCCACAGTCCGATGCATCACGCTCTAATCTTGTATATGGCTAGACGTAAGGTTTTGTATCTCAGCAGTCAATCATGTGGATTTCAGCCTCCGGGAAAGATAAGTTTCTTTAAAACTGCTCCTTGTTGATAAATGTTGGGAAGCGTGAAACTTGAACATAGTAAAGCTTCTTGCTGATTGGCCCTTAACGTTGATATTATCTCGCTTTTTCGTAGTCTGGAATTTTCTTGACACTTATAAGAGTATGTTTACGGGGTAGGAAGAAATGAATGTGAATAAGGTTCCTATATCACTCAATTGTAAGGAATTGAAGCCAGTTAACAGGTAGTCATCAACATAGAATCCATGCCTTTTATCACTCCTCAGTTAAATGTTTCTTCAGCCTTGAGGAAACCAATGCTCACTCATATATTTCAGTTGGTTACTCCTCGGTAACTAACCAATGTACCTAACTCAGTCCTGCTAGAGGTCTATCATGGCCCAAACAGCTCAGTGAAAACGTCTCTGATTGCTACGCTGAGTGACATGGGTTTGAATCTCAGACGCGACTTCAGTCTCGTCGACTTTGCAGATACGCCTTGCTGACGAGTACCAACGAGCACAAAACCTTAATCCAGGGCTTCTTACCGATTGCGCCTCCATCCAACTAACATCTGCACTCGAACCTCCATTACTCAATTTCGAAATCAGCAACTTTAACTTTTAATTTGTTAATGTCATGAGTAATTCCTGTGAGGTTCGATTGTGCATCCACATTGCCTACTGGGTAGTCATCGATTTAGTTTAATAATTGTAAGTTACTTATCAAAGGCTATCAAACAACATCTGTGCTAATAACTTAATGTATAAAGCATAATATATCGTCATTATTCTTATTACCCACCACCGATCATTGGGCCTAAATATTCGATTGAAACTAATCTATAGTAAATTTACTCATTCCACAATCCATAAACTTCTAAGGTAGGTTTGAGACATGGATTAGGATGCACTAATCAAATCACCATCCTTTGGCAGGTTCTGAAACACAAGCATACTTATTGGAAGTCGATGTTTCTTGTGCATCTTAGCCTGAGGGCTGTATGCAAATTTGTTGATCAAGAGGTGTTGCGATGGCGTCTTTCTGTGTAGTGAGTTCCGAAGGGCTATTCGAACTCACTGAGCCGTGTGAGAAGTTATGAAGAGTTTCCATCTGAAGTGACGACAGTCGTTGATGTTCGTGCAGGATGCTTACTGTCACCATTTCGTGATTAACTTCATTATGGATGTGCTGATTAGTATAACCCGACGTACCTCTGACTCCTCATGGCTTGGGTTGGTCCCAGGATGGCACCCGATAAGCTTGAAGTTCTCAGACGATAGAGTTGTGTTAGAAGAATACGTTGACAAGTAGAGGATCTTAACTCCTTGAACGGAGATCGAAGTATGTTTGGTTGGCATGGGTTTCGCACCTGTCAAATTTAAGATAGTTCTTCGAAATGGTCTCCGGCTACTCCTATTTTTTAAGGATAAGTAGTAGTGAATTGGTAGAATGAGTTGATCAATTCGCTTACTTGAGAAGTTGCATCAGACCGAACGGGTTATTTATTGACAAAAATTCAGTTGCCGTATGAGAGATCCGTTTTTGATTTACCAACCTACATCATGTCTAGTACTATGGAGTCGTGCGAGTACCTATTGAAGGATGTGCATACTGTTTCCTGCAGTCCGTTCTCTTGTGTAATGTGACTGTGTGAGATGGTTGTGGAAAGTTGGAGATATTGTGAGATTGCATGTATTTGACGACTAGTATCTTTGTAAGATTGTTTGTATGTGGTAGGATGACTGACTAAATGAGTAATGTCGAAGTTGGGTGAAAGGTGTTGGTGGTAATAGGTAAGGAGGTGAAGTCAGTTGATGAAATTGTTAGTTTTGAGTGAGTGAATCGGCTTTTGGATGTGTTGCACACTATAATGCATGGTAAGTTTGATATGTGTGATGCTTGCGAGTGATAGGATTTTGTTGTCTGAGGGTTAAGTGAGATAGGAGTGGAGGGAGTGATGTGAGTTTAAGATGTGGTGCTGGTGCATGCAGTTTTCGACTGTTGTTGTGAGGGATGTATGGAGTTGTAAACTGTGTGAGGTTGTGGTCCTCTAGATAATGAATGAGAAAGGATGATTGGTGACTGTTGAGGACGTGGGTGAAAATCAGTTACCTTCTTTGTATGTTTGAACATTTTGACTAATTTTCATTATGAAATTTTTTCTGCTGTAATGCACATTTGTATCCACTTGTTATTTTCATGCTACTATGAAGTGTTGTAAATTGAACCGATTTACTTCTCTGTCATGTCCTGCCTTGATACGTTTATCATTATGTGTTGCATCTATTCTGTTGTCAGACGTTTATCAATCATGCTTCCCTTTCCTTTAGGGAGTTTGTGATGGTATGACCTATGAAGAAATACAAGAAAAATATCCTCTGGATTTCGCTCGACGTGATTCTAACAAATACTTTTATCGTTATCCGATGGGAGAGGTGAGTATCACTGAATTTTTCTTCTCTGAATACAAATACTGTGCATAGATTATTGATTTTAAATGTTTTTCCTTTAACTGCTTACCACAATTTTTCATCACGAACCAATAACAACTATGTAACCTGCTATTGAAACTCACCTCAACCTCTAGGCAGTCTCTTCAGCCTAGTTTGTAGTCCTTAGCAAATGTGAGCCCACTTCCTAGACTTCATCTTATGCGTAATTATGAATTCTCGTAGTCTAGAGACCCCAAATTTTTATGAAGCAGCTGACTGAAACCATCCTGATTTCCAGTGTTTTTTCCATTAACTGATGTCGATTTGTGATGTAGACTATTTTGTGATCATCCAGATGTTAAAAAACTGATTAGCTGAGTAATAGTTATTTACTTTAAGAAGGTAGCTTTCAACTGTGTCTTATTTAGTTGTTGTCTGATATGTTTATGCAGTGGTTTTCATACATGTTTCCTTCGATTATTTCATCTTTTATCTTGGTACCTTTACGATATGAGGTTTAGTAACTCGAATCGTTACTCACTAGTATTTCCATTCTTAAAGACGATGAAACTACCCCTTAAATTCAAACTGGTATCATTTAAATCAGCAGTTTTAAAAATTATCACTAGTTCATTCATTTTCCTGCTGCAATGGACAGTTATTCATTTCTAATTGAAGTCATTCAACTGAAAGGTTACATTTCACGCAAGGTAACCAGTAGATTTCACTAGTTGAATAGTCAATATCCAAATTACGTACAAATTACAATGTCTACTTTGATATTTCTCACAGCTGATTAGCTTTCCAATTGACCCAACTGTCAGCCAAGATCAAAAAGGGTGATCTCTGACACAAAAGTTCAATTTGAAATATTTCAGGTGATAATAATTACTAGTCTGTTGATTAGTTTAAGGAGAAACGATTAGTTTCATGCTGGTTTCCATGATAGATAAACTTCAGCAGAAGAAACAGACATTAAAATCTCGTCACCGCTAAACAGCATATTGGTTCTAGTGCATGACTCCTACGTTGCGCTTAACTGCCAGTCTATTATTCACCTACTGTCTTCGGCATCAAAGGATTCATAATTCCCAACTTCCATTACTTTGTGATATTTGAGAACCATCATTAAATGTCAGCAGTTGATATGCTTCCTGATGCCTGAATTGATTTACCCAATAAGTTAAAGGTTCTCATTAGAGCTGGGAGAAATCTATTTCACTGCCTTTCACTACTAAGCAAGAACTTGTTATTCGATTGGTTTCAGTCCAGGATGCCATATACATCGAAACACATGCTGCGGACAGACAGACAAAAGCAACGTTGAACCTTGCACACAAGTCTATTGGTTCAAGCTGCCACACTTCACAGTAGCATACAAAGAACAATTGGATGGAAAAGACTGATAAACAGTTTGAAGATAAAGGCTGGTGCAAATATTCAAGTTTCAGAAGATGTCATGAAGTGCATACATCTGCGACATTGTGACCAATTTTCAGCCATGTCACCAATTATCCCCAACTACTGATTCCGTTCTTCTCGGAAATCCCAATCTGGCAGTCTAAATCTCCAAACACTGTTCAAACCAACAGTCACAGACTTCATCAACTGGTACCACTTCTGGTCACCCTCAACCCTCTTCCAACCTAATACAACTTCCCTTAGCACGGCACGTCGAGACAGGCGGTGATTTGGCGTGGGCAGTACATACATGTCCAAGCCATCTCTGTCGATTAACATTCACAACCTTATCAATCATCTTACCTGTTTTGTCTGGTACCTTTCACCTAACCTCAACATTCCTCACATGGCGATTCCACCACATGCAAACAATGCTATGAAGAAGCCTATGCTCGAAAAACTAACTGTTTCGTGTCTTCTACTTTCAACGGCCATGTCTCACAACTTTACATCAGGACTGAACAGATTGCAGGGCAGTATACTCGTCGTTTGATAGATAACTGGATATATCACCGGTGTCACAGATGTTGCAATACGGTACAATGTACAGCGCATAGTAACCGATCTATGTACATTTCCAAGTATCAGTAGAAGCCATTACCTGCGTAGTGTAGTGCCCTTAGAGGCCTATTTTACTTCATTGGATTCAAATCTTGAACATAGCGTTATTTTATTCAAGCTTTAAAGTACTTTTCGCATATGATTTACTACCCGTTTATAGCCAAAATCTTCTCCGATGAGTAAGTCAAACCGACGCAATGAACGCAAAATCCTATTCAGAAGCGCATCATCTTAAGTCACCACAGCATAGAAACATGTTGACAATTCGATCCCCACATGATTTGTTCTTCCTGAAGATACCCAGCCTGTTCCGGTGGCAACTTTGAATCTAGAGCATTTTTTAGTCCATCCAGGATGATGTGGCTGGAATCAGAACAGAAGAATGTTATTATTGTGAAAGTCACCAAATTATTTTTTTACTCAACAGTAATCATGTCATAAGCTGTTACACAATGAATGTGGTTGATGGCAGCTAGCACATGAATACTGTGGTTAACTTGTATTTAATGAACTGCTTAGAGTCCAAGTTGTTAAAATGTCATGTGTCGTTCTCATCATCACCTACACAACAGGTGTCCAGTGCTTTCTCGTTTTTTTTTTACTAGCATCAGGTTTATATAAGAATAGTTTTTCCTTTTATGTTTTACTCTTCCAGTCCTATCATGATTTGGTGACACGTTTGGAGCCTGTAATTATGGAGTTGGAACGACAGACGTCAGTGTTAGTTATTTGTCACCAGGCGGTAGCACGTTGTCTGTTAGCATATTTTGAAGATAAAGACAAAAGTGAGTTAATGTGATATTGCATTCTGTATTCTGGTGCATGATAAGCTGTGATTTCAGGATGATAATTGTTTATGTTGTTGATTGGTTTCACACGATCAAGAGTTTATTGTTTTATACCTAGTCCCTGTCCACCTCAGAAACTTTCAACAATCGATGGCGTGTAGCTCCATGGCCCTTGTGGTTATACAGAAACTAAAATAGTCGGATTATAAGATCGAACACTTGCCTAATTGACCAGTAACCTGAAGGTCGCTGCTTTGAGTCCTGTTGCAATCCAGGATTTCTTCCAACATCAGTCATGAATCGGTTAGGCTAAGATCAGTTCACCTAATTAAGGTCATCTCAGGTGGTCTCATGAACAGTGGATCAATCGCTTCTTCCTTCTATTTCAGTCCAATTCACATAGAGACGAAGAAATCTAGGTAATTGAAAAGTATGATTATAAGGCAAACTATGAATGGAAAACAGCTTATTCATGTTGAAACCCAAGCACAAATCTTGCTTACTGAGTTGACATCGAGATCATATCAGTATTTGCATCTCGTAGGACATTGAGTCAGTAATCCGGAGACCAGTCAGTCACTTCAATCCTCTTATGGTTTACTTTCAATTGAAAATTAAATCCATCGCCACCTCCATGCCAATTCAGTCTAATTCTGTTCGAAATAACAACTACCAAAATACGACTAACTTGACCGCTTCTCTAAATTACTGCCTATATTAGAATCATATGCGTTCACTGAATGACGGTGAAAACACACAGCACAAATGTCATGCATTGTAGGACACAGTTCACATATAGCACATGCACACACACACACACACAGCTGCATGCACAATAATTCACAGTTGTGCTTAAAAGAGAATCGACATGCCAACAGATTGGAAACATGTTCTGACAAATGATAATTTGAAAAAGTTTGACCTCATTAATATTAGTTTAGTTTGATATTTTAACCTCGTTTATATCTATAACGAAGTTTGGATGAGCTTGCCAGAAGAGGAGTTGAATTTGATTGGCTTATTTGTGACATCTGGCGGTTAATGCAAACATACTTTAGATGCCTATGAAAGTAGTAGTTCAGTTGAAGCTTGATGAAACTTCACGCAGGTGTTTACCGTCCTTAGTGGGATGAGTAGAGAAGAGATTTGAACAAGCGATTCGCTTTTCGAATGTGTTATCTATCCATGGGTAGTCTCTTTTAACTATGTAGCAGCAATACTGTCAACACTTGTAATTGGGAGGCTGAGGTACTGTGACCTTATACTGTATATTGCAAGCATGGAGTGTCGATTTTGGCATTATGCATATATAGGATATAGAAGTGCTGAGTAACGAACCATTTTCCAGCGAGTGGGATACCAGAACAGCGAGTTAGAATGTGACACGGTGGATGACTAGATAGGTACACGACAGCAGGAAAGAAGACATGCGAGTGCAAATCATCAATCCTTCCAATTTTGTGGAAGGGCATAATGTGAAGAGGGGAGGAGATGAGGGATATGCAGTAATATGTAATATTGCAATGAAGACGACGCATAGGGCAAGGCATGGCTGGATTTGTGACACTGTGACTGATGCTGAGTCATTTATGTTACATAGTTTTCAACCATGGATTCCAGTTGCCATACGAATGCCAATCTAGAAGTCTATATTTCTTTGCAGAACCCAACAAATTACTGTCACGTCATGTTTCGACTACTTTTAATCTTATTGCACCCAAAATAGCCCTCCATGTTTCTTATCCGTCTCGTCTAGTGTTCAGACTATTTCAGCTTCTTGAGAGTTAGTGGTATGGTGTGTCCGCCACTTCTGGAAAACATCTCACAGAAATTGAATTGTCGTCATTCACTGCTGTAGTTACGTATTCCTCTCACAGCTAAGTGCAACATTAGAACATAAGTTTTTCACTTTTTAGTAACTTTTTTATGCTATGAGTACATCTGTCAGTCATGATAAACCGCTCAGCATTCAACTTTGAAGAAAAAGCGTATACATGCATGTTGTTAGGTCAGATTTAGAGATCATACTGCTGAAAGCTTTCAGATAGTTGTTTTTCTTCTCTCAGAGATTCCATCCAATCAAACTACAGCTTTCAACGTTGCTTAGTCATCCTCGTTGATGGTTTTGCTTTCTGCAAACTTTACAAAGAAACTAATTCGATTTCTGCTTTCCCTCCTGCTGTAATTAACTCTGATATGTTTATATAAAATGTGACAGTTTGGTTCGATACGCAGTAATGCTAGATTTTCCATGTCGATGATGTCCCTTGATCATAGTCTGGTGCAGTCAATGAACTTACTAACACCAAGGTTTTGCCTTAAAACTTTCTACAGCATTAGTCAGCACCAGGTATATCCAGATGAACGGTTACTGTTTACATACCATGGTTCTTTTAGCTATTTCATTCAATGGAGGCTGAAAAATTCGTCAACTGACATGCCTCTCCTACTCAAAACGTTTCGTGGTACTCTTGATACTATATACCTGACTGTTCGAGGCGGTTTGCGATATACTTTTCAGACATTCACACTCAAATCCTGGCTAGTCATATTGTAAACACTGCTTGATGATTTAGACATTTCCGATATTTTTTTCGATTGAATAGTACGCCAATACCTTGTCTGTCCAACAGTAATTACTACTACTAGGAATAATCATAAGTCCATTTCATTCTCATAAATTTACCCTTCCTCAGAAGTAGCATCAATAGCGATGTTTGAAGTAGATGGGAATTTCAAAGGTGGTTTTATCAACGACAACACTGAAAAATAAAGAGTATTGAGTAGCTTCCCCATCCTATTATATGCCTTTTCAGAGACAGACACTAATGTCTATGTGAGAGATACACCTCAGAACCGTCACGTCCCACAGAAAACCGGTTGGCACTCAGTCACTGGAATGAAGTTCAGTGGTTCCTATTTTCCTACTGCTGTCATTTCGCTATGTAGTGTGACCATCAATCGTCAAACAAGTGGTGATTTGTATTTTTCGCATTTGACCTCATTTATTTGGAAAATCCCGGTGGGAACATCACTAACTGGGAGGCAGGTACATCCAGCTGACGAGTCTCAAAATGGACGAAATACGCATCCTGAATTCCACTGCTAACCACCATCCATCTTTACTATGACTAGAACACAGGTATATCATGGCATCCGCACAGGATCCCACATGCCAATAGAGACCGATCAATTCGGTCCAATCACCGTTGGTATAATACAAGTAATAACACTATTACTTGTAAGTGACCATTTTATGGTCAATATTTTACCACCAAACGCCATCTGAATTATATCCTCTTTTTTTGCAGATGAACTACCCTATATTCGTGTCCCCTTGCATACTGTTTTCAAATTAACACCAACTGCTTATCGTTGCATAGTTGAACGAGTGGAGCTTAATGTGCCTGCTGTTGAGACACATAGAGAAAAACCAGAGGTCAGTTAACCTTCAAGTGATCTAATTCTAATTTGTGACCTTTTTGTTAAGAAATATATATATATATATATATATATATATATATATATATATATATATATATATATATATATATATATCACAGCATTTATATATACCACATAGATCATGATTTGTTCCATTCGTTAGTCATTGCTACCTACTGTGAAATATAAGTTGTAGTTGGAACGAGCTTAAAATTATAAAGCAGTGGTTGTGACAGAAATGTTGCATATGATAAGCTACTTTTAGAGGTGTGTGATGACTCATTGACTTTGGCAACCGATTTCAAATCGTGCTTTTTATACACTTAAATCTGGGGTCGTGATATATTACAACAAGTGATCTCAGGAAACTTTATCTTTCCACAAAAAAACGCTTTAGTGAAGAAAACCAATTAAACTTGACTGTGTTTGTCTACTTGCAGTTGGATCCAGGACATGCGTTTCGTAATCAAGCAATTCGATGCTGTTTAGCGACGGGAAATTACAATTATCAATAAACGACAACTGAAACCCGTGGTACAAGAGGTGGCTATTGTGCCCCAGTGGCCTAGTGAATAACACTTTGGCGACTGAAGCTATGGCTACTGGATTCGAGTCTCAATGGGTACAATACCACTCACTGGGGTGCAGATACATCCAGCTGACAAGACCCAAATAGGACGAAACGTGCGTCCTAGATCCTTCTGCTAGCCACCAAGAAAACACCAAGATAGTGAGTAATCAGACGGTATCTAGGCGTCCTCGTGGGAGCCCGTCTGCCAAGAGACGTCGAACAATTCAACTTAGTATGGCAACGGGAGATTAAAAGCATCGAAACGACGAAAACTTGACCGCAGCCTTAACAGTTTAACGCTATCATCGCTTATATTGCCACTGGACAGCCGTAGTCGATAGACCTGAGATCAGTAAATAAATCATAGCATTGGTTGTCAATTATGTTATTGTCGGACCCAGTAACTGAAACCATTACAGATGAAAGCCAGACAACGTTGGAAATCTAACGATGAGATAGTCATAGTGACTGCACGTGTATTTTTCTGCGAAATAGGCGCACTACTAAGCTATTCCCACAAGTAAGTAGTCAATTCAAAGATGATACAAAAGTTATTAGTCAGTCGTACTAGTAAGTGTAAGGTTGAGATTTTATCTTAATTTCGACAGTCATGAGTGACTATAAGGCTAAAATCTATGTAATAACGATGTATGATTACGAGTTTAGCTAAGATAAGGCATCAGATGCATCTGAATGATCAATTTCAGTTGTCCACCGGATCCTAGATAGGATGTCGACTACACTTTGCGTACCGAAAGTCTGAGACATTTTGCTTCCTGCGACATCTTGACTCTCAGTTAAACATCATCCGTCATCTTTGACTTAGCATGTTCGTTTGTTAGTTGTTAATTATCTAATGTTGCATTTTTCTGTTTGTTTTTCGTTTAATCTGTAGACTCTCAGATCACAACGATCTTCATTTGAAGCAATGAAAACTGTACCAGCCCACTACTAGTGTGTACTGTCACTCAGGAATCATGTCTTTTTTTTATTTTAAATTTCCTATTGGAATTGACTGACTTTTGTCTTTTTTCGTCTTGTTTTTTTTTTACAAGAAAAGAGGAAACAATTGTATACTATATAACTTCCATTCTCCTTTTTTTTTTTGTTCTGTTGGATGGATGATGATGGGCCTAATTCAGAAGATTGTTTCACGCTCACTACTCATTTTATTTGCAACTGCCTAGTTTTCAGCTGTCTACTACATTCATCTCTTTTGAAAAATGCCTTGTACACGTCAAAAGAAAGAAGGAAAAAGTTGTACAACGACAAATTCTCCTCTTTGTATAGATAACCTTCCTTCTGTTCAATGACATATTGAGTGTAGAGAAAAGGCGAACAACCCGAGAGAGAGAGAAAGAGGTAGTCAGCACAAGAAAAAGATACAGTGAGTTACTCGGATGGTGCGTGTACACAAACGAAGAAACATGAAATTTTCTTTGTAAAAAATAGCATACTTGTCCAGTTGTGTCTTTTTGAAGTGTTGGCAATAATTGACATTGTTATACTTTCCCTTCAAATCAGTTCACACATACACGTGTTGTTTTGTTGACTTTACCTCACTCTTTATTTGATTTGTTTTGGATAATGTTTTGATAATTATGTAGCTATAATACCAATGAGTTATCATATCTTTTCCTTTGCAACAAGCGTAACTGTCTTTGCAGCTTACAGGCGCCATTGTGAATGATTGAGTCGCCTAGTTAACCTTCTGTGTCGAAATCAAACAGACAGACAATGTACAACCTCGCACACATCCACGTCAGCTCAAGTTGCAACACTCCACATTAGTATACAAACAACAGGTGCATAGAAAAACAATGATACCAAAGTAGACAAAGTTGTGTGAGAGACTAAGCAATTTGAAGATAAAGGTTAGTGAGAATATTCAAGTTGTAGAAAAACGTCAAAGAGTGAATACTTCTGCACCATTGTCACCAAGAGTTCTCAAACACTGATTCCCATCGTTTCGAAGACCTCAGTCAGGCAGTCTACATCTCCCCACACACCTCACACCAATAGTCATGGACTTCATCGACTGGTGTCATGTCTTGCTCTGGCCACCCTGAACCCTCTTCTAACTTAATCCAGCTTTCCTTAACATGGCACTCCAAGGTGGATCGGTATGCACAACACATGTCCAACCACCGCAGCCAATGAAGTTTCACAACCTCATCTGTCGACTTGCCTGTTTAGCGTAGTACTCTTCTCTTTACCTCAACACTAGCCACGTAACGATTTCACATACTACGTGTGGCTCATTCGGCTGTACAGGTTCATTAACTTGCATAATATACAATTAAGACTATCTTCGTAAGTTTTTAAAACCGTTGTGAAATCCTTTTCCGGTTTATTGTCCAGTAAATAATGCTATTTCACTGTGTGACGTTTCCGATTTAGTCTACAAGGGGGTGGAAGGAAGACAAATAAATCAGTATTGATAAAACATTTCCGAAACCTTGAGGATGCCAATCATGGCTTTTAAAGTCGTTGACAAGATTTATAGAATTAATCAGTTTATAGCCTCTCACTGTTATAAAGGTCAGAGGTAATGTAAATGCGAAATCCATATAAATTTGTCTTGTTCAATTGTTCTACTTATTTTCAATAAAATTTCAACCACAAGTTGTTTTAAAATCACTTCATTCAACTAAGCAATTTTCGAGTGATTATCAAGACAGAATTCAGAAAGGTAGAAAACCGAGGTTGTCACCGATTTTAAT